TAGTAAGATATCATAAAAATAATAGATATGTTAGGATTCAAGACCTCTGTTTCGAAAAAAGTTCTGGATTTCTAAATTACATGGTAACATGACTCTGATGATAAATGTAAAATGTGAAAGGGAAGATATGGATTTATAAACATTAGTATACTAAATTGTATTCTAATTAAATAATTTATTGAATGCTAATTACTAATTAAATAGTGAGATTACATTTCTTATGATATATTTTAATATTAAATCTATATTTCAAGACTATATAATAATCGATGCTTAAAATCGATAATTTGAAGCATAAAGCAAATGTATATAACTCAAATTAAAAATATCTCACCCGATCAAAAAGTATCAAATTTCTTTATTCCATATATTGATTGCTGTTTATTTTTCAAAGATACAATTAGGTATACAATTATTCTCTAAATTATATGCACATTACTTTTCCTGTTGCATTATATTTTTTATTTCGTCTTGATTCTGTTATTCCTTTGTCCATACATCCATTGTAAAATTATTAATCCAATGTATCCGACAAAAAATTATTGTTTTTTGCCTCTCTAAAATGTTTCAACACGCAGTTCCCTCTTTCCCCAACCTCTCCTGTTTGTTTTATTTTTACGCACCTATAACTAAAACACAGGAATAAGGCCTGGCTGTGACCTGACAGAGCTAGACACGTGTTGGGATTCAAAGCCACCATACCGTAAACAGGGGAACAAGCGGATTTTTGCATCGGGATCTCCAATGGCAGACATTGGAATAAAGAGGCAAAGCCATCCTCCTCTAGACAATATAACTAATAGTTACATACCGCATGATCCAAATTTATTGCCTCCGACTGTCACGATACACAAAGGCCGTAAGGATATTATATAAAAATATTAAATGTATAATATGTATATCTATATTGCTTCATTTTCTTTCTCTTTACTGCAAATAGAGATTTCATACCATCCTTGTATGGATGAGAATGTACTTTATAAGACGCTGAAAAACGAATGCGAACCATCGATAATGTTCGCAATTAATCGGAATCTTTACGCATACGTCAAAATAACTAATTGTAAGTATAAAGAAATGATGCTATCATATCATATCTGTATGGAAATTTAACGTTCTTACTTATAATCCGTAGTGAACTGCTGCGTAAACAAGATTTGTTGGAATGTGACATCGAGAGGTCTCGCTTGCATTGGTCAAGATGAAGTTATTTTATTAGTTGAGGTTTTACCAGATGAAACACGGATTCCAAAAGATCTTCTTATCTACATCAATCAATTATATCTCGAAGCTATTAAAGGTAACATACACACACACATATATATATATATATATATATATAT